AGCGTGAGCAAGATTTCAGAAAAAAACACCCCGTATAGCCCACTGTTATTATTATCAATATTATTATCATCAATATTGTTTTTATTATCATTATTATTATTATTATTATTACTATTATTATTACTGCTACTACTACCATCATATCATCACCATTATCATTAATCATTCTAATCTTTATCTTCAATACCATTACTATCATTATCATCATTATCAAGTTAATCATTACCATTATCAATTATTATCATTACCATCACCACATCACCATCATTACTCGAAGCTGACATTCACACTTGTGGAGACAGCCCCCCCCCCCCCATTCGACATATGTCAGAATGTGTAATGTTATCACCTAATGATTTTAGTGACTTTACTTCAATGAGTTCTCTTTTCTTCTTCTTCTTCTTCTTTTTCTATTTCTTCTTCTTCTTCTTCGTCTTCGTCTTCTTCTTCTTCCTCTTCTTCCTCTTCTTCTTCTTCTTCTTCTTCTTTCTTCTTCGTCTTTTTCTTCTTCTTTTTGTTTCATTGAGAACAGCCTCGGTGCAGATTTAGGTCAGATTGTTAATTTTGTAACTGTTCTGTTACTAATACTACTTTTATGTTAATAATGACGATTGTGGTGATAGATGTCATTATCACTGCCAGTGTCATCATATCATTATTTTCGCTATATTATCATTGTCATTTTTATTGTAGTTACTATTACTATGATATTATTGATGTCATTAATATATTACTTAGACTTAAATCATCATCATTATCTTCATCATCATCATCGCCATCGTTACTATCACCATCATCATAGTCAGAGTATATTTTCACCAACACTATCATCAGAGTAATTACATATTAATATTCATCCTCATGCAGGAGAGAATGACTAACTAATCGTTAATAGTATTCTGGGTATACGTGCTGAGTATTTAACATGAAACTCCATTCTGAATTTACTTGAAACATGCAGCTCTTAAAAATTCCTCAGTGATTGATAACAGATAATCTGCCTAAAAGGAAAAAATACACGAATTTATGGAGATACTGAATACGAGCAACTACTTTTATCTTCTTTTTAAAAATCAAATGGCATCTGGTATCTTGACTGAATTGATAGTTGAAAAGCAAGGAAATCTAAGAAGTGAACTAGTCAGGAAATGAATAATTTGATAAAGCAATTTGATAAAACAGGGGCATTTCTAATCTATGCAACACGTAAACTTGCATTTAATATATCATGCAAATTGGATATTTCCCAACCATACCTAAGCAGAGTATAGAATTCATCGGTACAAAGCCGGTATGACCACCTTTTAATATACGTAAAAGGATAGCGTACAACCATCAAGTCTCAAGGCGTTACTATACCAGTGCATGGACTATACACTGTCCATGCAGTCATGTCTATCAGTCGTAACAGATAATAGTTAAATAAAATAATCATTAACTGCTCTGATTTACTCTTCCTAAACGTGAGTGCTAACCCCTCTCCCCTCCATATCAAATCGATTGTATATATATAACAGGCATTCACCCCATCACCCTTCAATACCCACAAAGCCAAGGATAAAGGTATTAAAGCTATTGATAATATATTTCACACACGTCCTGAAGAAGGTGGGGAGGGATAGAGGCAGGTGGGGTAGGGGAGAGCAAGGGTGGGGAAGGGGAGAGCATAGACAGGGAGAGGAGGACAAGGCAGGGGAAGGGGAGTAGGGGAGAGCATAGACTGGAGGTAGGGGAATAGAGGGAAGGGAATGGGAGGGAGGTACGTAAAGGGGGGGAAGGGGAGAGCATTGCCGGGGAGGAGGAGAGAAGAGTAGAGAGGAGGAGGGGAATAGAGGAGGTAGAGAAGAGGGGAATAGAGGAGGTAGAGAAGAGGGGGGTGGGGGAGGAATAGAGAGGGGGTGGGGGAGGAATAGAGAGGGGGTGGGGGAGGAATAGAGAGGGGGTGGGGGAGGTAGAGAAGAGGGGGGTGGGGGAGGAATAGAGAGGGGGGTGGGGGAGAGAGAGACTTGAGGAGGAGGAGGGGAATAGAGGAGGTAGAGAAGAGGGGGGGTGGGGGAGAGAGACTCGAGGAGGAGGGGAATAGAGAAGGAATAGAGAGAGGGGGTGGGGGAGGAATAGAGAGAGGGGGGGTGGGGGAGAGGAGGAGAGAGGAGGAGGGGAATAGAGAAGGAAAAGAGAGAGGGGGGTGGGGGAGAGAGACTCGAGGAGGAGGGGAATAGAGGAGGTAGAGAAGAGGGGGGTGGGGGAGGAATCGAGAGAGGGGGTGGGGGAGGAATAGAGAGAGGAGGAGAGAGGAGGAGGGGAATAGAAGAGGAATCGAGAGAGGAGGAGAGAAGAGGAGGATTAGAGGAGGTAGAGAAGAGGGGAATAGAGGAGGAATCGAGAGAGGAGGAGAGAAGAGGAGGTAGAGAAGAGGGGAATAGAGGAGGAATCGAGAGAGGAGGAGAGAAGAGGAGGAATAGAGGAGGTAGAGAAGAGGGGAATAGAGGAGGAATCGAGAGAGGAGGAATAGAGAGAGGAGGAATAGAGGAGGTAGAGAAGAGGGGGTTGGGGGAGCGCCTCTCGTGCTGCCCCCTGCCTTCGGCTCGAAGAACCAGGTCCCGCTGACGTAAACACCACCAACACGTCAGTCCAAGATGGCAGAGGAAAGTCCCAGCAGACAAGACATCGAGGCCGTGTTTAAGCGACTCCGAGCCATCCCCACGAATAAGGTGATGGTAGGGGAGGGTGTTGGGGTTTAGGAGAGGGTTTGGGGATGGAGGGGAGGGGTTTAAGGGCGTGGGGAAGGAAGGGGGAAGGTTTTTTTTAAGGGAGGAAAGGGAGGTTGTGGGTGGTCTTGGCTGAGGGATGTTTTTTAAAAAAGTTTATTTTCATCTCCTTTTCCTCCTTTTTACTGAGGTCTAGGTTCATTAAAGGATGGTGTTGATCGATGTGTCTTCGGTGATGAGATTTCGGTTTCGTAGTTTCATTGGTTTTAGGATAAAAAAAGAAAAAATGTGAAGTGACGTGTGTGTGTTCCAGAATTCCAGATTTCTCGGTTGTCATTTTTCCGATTATTTTTTTTTTTCCTTGCTGTGAATCATTGTAAATTTTAATCTTTATCTGAATCTTTATCTTATTTCATCTAATCTTTATCTTATTCTGAATTGTTCGGAATTTCATGGGAAGACTTTTCATTATATGGGTTTAGGTTATAAGGTATAATTATAAGGATTGTAGAAAAGGACTCCTGTCAAAAAATATCTTTTGCTTGAAGAATATTATAGGAAAACTTGTGTATATTTTTTATTGCTTGTATAGATTGACTTAAATTGGAAAAAAAACAAAGAGTGTATTTAGAAGACTCCATAAGATAGACAAAAGAGTCGTGCCAAATTTTCGAATTTCTCTTGTGTACGACTTTATCTTTCACCGTGAAGTTTCCGAATTTTTCATGTTTGTTAATGAATTAGAATGAATCTGATATTAATTTTGAGTGATTTTGGATATATTGCCTATCAGTGATTTGTTGGCTCCAGAACTGGCCACAGAATGATAAAACCTGCCATAAGGATATTGGAAAGATACTGATAATGGAGTGACATTCCTTCTACAGCATTATGCAGATTATCAAATAAACTATACATTAACTAAATGAAGTATCTATATTTATGGTAATGTAATGCGATGTCTTGTGACTAGATTTACGGGAGGTCTGGTTTTGCGTGTGCTGTGTGGAATTCTTAATCTACCCATGGCAGGGTAGAGTGCATGACCAACATGCGGGAGCACCTGGTGCTGAGTCTGTCCGATGCTCTTGTCTTCCATTAATACATAGAGGCTTCTTTGTTTTCTTGTGTGGGGGTTGGGGGGCAGTAGCTCCCATGGGGGGGGTTGCAGGGGGCACAGCCTCATGCATTAGACAATATAGTGACTGATTTGGCACTATTTGAGAATTCCATATTGTACACGTGTTACTATAATTCCTGGAAAAATAGTCAGTAGACATCACATGATGATACTGTAAACGTGGCCACAGTCTTAACTAAATACATTGTGAAATAATGTGTGAATACAAAAGGTATTAAAGTAGAAAATTCTTTGTGATTTGTCATATGTTTGCTTTACCAAAGTGAGTACATCTACCTGCAACAGTACCCCTTTCTGCCCTGTTCATGCAAGAACTAGGCTACTACAGTTTGTGTAGGTACTGAAGTGATACTTTCAATACTTTTACTCGTTTTTCCATTCTTTTCCTCAAGTTGTGAGAGACATATACTAAGGTAACATGTAATTTACTTAAGGATTTTTTTGCCATGTAATTCTCGAGATATGTGTACTTAGAGAAAGAAATTAAGATCTTTTATTTAAGACTTTGGATATGGTAATGTGTGCAAGTGATATTAGAAAGTGGATGATAAAGGGAAGCATAATACTTATAACATTATAATATGAGACTTCGATGTAGGTATTGAAAGGGGACATTAATTATTACTCTATTTTCATTGTTACAATATATTAGACTCATATTTATTTGTGGTTTAATAGGTCAATCAAGCAGTGTGTTTGATATTCATTATTGAATCGTTTTATCCAATACATATGAATTTATAGTTTGAAATAATTTGATACTTAAAGCAGAGGTGTTTAGTGTCATTTATTTATAATTTGAAATCATCGTTATGCAGGATGTTTGCTGTCATTCATTACAAGGATTCTTTTTAGTTTATAATTTTTATGATTTTGATATTTTACATATTAAGCATTTTGTATCAGTCTTAACAGATTCCTTTTATCTCTTTCAGACATGCTTTGATTGTGATGCAAAGAACCCAACATGGGCAACCGTAACATACGGAGTGTTCATTTGTATTGACTGCTCAGCTGTGCACCGCAGCTTAGGAGTGCATTTGACATTCGTTAAATCCACGCAATTAGACACCAACTGGACATGGATCCAGCTGCGAAGTATGCAGCTTGGAGGCAACTCCAATGCGGTAGGTTTATTTGCATTTGAAGAGAGTGGAAATTTTGTGATGATTATATGTTTATTGCTGGGTATTACCCAGTTTTTCTTAGGACTGTAAAGTAGATTTATTAAGCATGAGTATTATAGAGATTGATATTGTATTTTGCTTTTTGTAGTAAATATGTATATAAATAATAGGTAGATAGTTTATGCTCATTATGCGAGCCGGTGATTCGGCCAGATGTACTGACTGCCTCTTGTATTAATAAATGTTCTAACTCTTGTTGCTTATCCACAGAGAACCTACTTCAACCAACACAACTGCTCCACGAAAGATGCCCAGCAAAAATACAACTCCCGTGCAGCCCAGCTGTACCGAGAGAAGCTCTCCCAGATGGCCAGACAAGCCATGAAAATCCACGGCACAAGGGTAAGACCAAGTACAAAGCTCCTTTAATGAGAAATGCCTCGTCTTATAATGCATGTGGTTGTTCTTAAGGGATTTCTTTTTTTTTTTTTTCTTTTTTTGCCCCCTAATAGAACACTATACAGATTTTGGCCTTGTTGTATACAGGAGGTAGGAAGACTGGAAGGTAAATTTTAGGGTGATGAGGAAATTATGATGACTGGTAATGAAGTACATGTAAAGTGTATTAGATAATGCGTATTAGATATCAGAATGGAGTGTCTTAAAGGATCAGAAAACTATGAAAGAATAACAAGGATTGAACTGCGTTTGTAGTTGTATCAGTTTTGTTTGAGATGATGATGCTGTGAGGTAATACCATCCATTAATCCATCTAAGTAATAGAATTGCTTTATATTTTGATAATATAGAAAGAGATGTTGTTTGTAAGAAAAAAGAAAGAACCGTTAAACAGTACAAACTATATGTGTGTCTGCTTAATACTCAAAGTTTATTTTAAGAAAGTTCAAATATAGGAAGCCAAACAGAAGTTTATAGTAATCCTTCTCACCCCCTTCTTTCCCTTTTGACTCCCTCCCCCACCCCTCCCCATCTCCTCTTCTGCCCTTCTCTCTTTCCCTCCCCTTTTCCTCTCCACTCCTCTTCCTCCTTTCCCCTTTCCCTTTCCCTTTCCCTTTCCCTTTCCCCTTTCCCCTTCCCCTTTCCCTTCCCCTTCCCCTTCCCCTTTTCCCTTTTCCCTTTCCCTTTCCCTTTCCCTTTTCCCCCTTCCCTTTCCCTTTTTCCCTTTCCCTTTTCCTTTTCCCTTTCCCTTTCTCTTTCTCTTTCCCTTTCCCTTTTCCCCCTTCCCTTTCCCTTTTTCCCTTTCCCTTTTTCCTTTTCCCTTTCCCTTTCCCTTTCTCTTTCCCTTTCCCTTTTCCCCCTTCCCTTTCCCTTTTTCCTTTTCCCTTTCCCTTTCCCTTTCTCTTTCCCTTTCCCTTTTCCCCTTCCCTTTCCCTTTTCCCTTTCCCTTTTTCCTTTTCCCTTTCCCTTTCCCTTTCCCTTTCCCTTTCCCTTTCCCTTTCCCTTTCCCTCTCCCTCTCCCCTTCCCTCTCCCTCTCCCCTTCCCTTTCCCTTTCCCTTTCCCTTTCCCTTTCCCTCTCCCTCTCCCTCTCCCCTTCCCTTTCCCCTTTCCCCTTTCCCCTTTCCCTCTCCCTCTCCCTCTCCCCTTCCCTTTCCCTTTCCCTTTCCCTTTCCCTTTCCCTTCTCCCTCTCCCTTTTCCCTTTCCCTTTCCCCTTTTCCCTTTCCCCTTCCCCTTTTCCCTTTCCCTTTCCCCTTCCCCTTTCCCCTTTTCCCTTCCTCTTTTCCCTTTTCCCTTCCCCTTTTCCCTTTTCCCTTTTCCCTTTCCCTTTCCCCTTCCCCTTTTCCCTTTCCCCTTTCCCCTTCCCCTTTTCCCTTTCCCCTTTCCCTTTCCCTTTCCCCTTTTCCCTTTCCCTTTCCCTTTCCCCTTTTCCCTTTCCCTTTCCCTTTTCCCTTCCCCTTTTCCCTTTCCCTTTCCCTTTCCCCTTTTCCCTTTCCCTTTTCCCTTTCCCTTTTCCCTTTCCCTTTCCCTTTCCCCTTCCCCTTTTCCCTTTCCCTTCCCCCTTTCCCTTTCCTTCTATTCCTTTAACTTCTAATCCTTCCCCCTTACATACATGAAAGTCATGCCGTGTACATCATGGATATAGGTTACTCAGTTTTTTTTTTTCTTTCTTTCTTTCTTTATTTTCTTTTTTTTTTTGAGAGCTCTGTGCAGATTTGGAGAGGTGAGGGATTATAGAACAGTTCACTATTCTGTATAAGTACAGTTATTGCTTTGTCAATGCTGTGTTGGGAATAGTAATTGTAGATTATTTATTCCTTATTTTGAAGCTTTTCCTCAGAAATGATGAAGAATGTTTTAATTGGTTAAATTCTGGAATATTCTTAAAGAACAAAGATAAGTTCAGTTGATGAACGCTAAAATGTCTGTGAAGATAGAAAGTTTCATGGACGCAAAGTAAGCTACATTATAAGTAAGTTGCTCCTTCTTCATATTCCTGCCTAAAACCCTAAGAAAAGAGCTTAGCATATTGTGCAACATTGACTAAAAACTTGTGCTTATAGAGC